TATCTATATCTATATCTATATCTATATATATCTTTCCTGGTTTACTTTTAAGAGTATATCAAAATGAGAATTTAAATATCTCCAAAGCTCTATTCATAAGTTATAAGTTAAGAAGTACCTGTTTACATGAGGAAGAATGTTGTGTCAGTTATGTATTGTTACCACACTGCAAACAGAGATACTAAGGGCCTGATTTTGAACAGGTGCAATCCATGTTCTGTAGTGAGCTAGATGCTATTGCAGCATGACAGTGTTATCAATCAGATTTGCTTCATAAAGTAATATCATAATTATAATATGATTAGAATTCACCATTGTAGTCTCATAAACAACCATTCAACGTTAGCAGGAACACATCAAAAAGAATTTTCTCCTCCAAAGTGACATACCTTGTTCTTCCCCTCTATTAAAACTGTTCTTTGTGTAATGCTTTGGATTCTGTTTCCTGTAGTGCTTTCAGATGTCAAAACTAGCGAATTTTCTGAACTGGAGCAAGAGTCATACCTGTGGCAGGATAAATAAGAATGAAGCAACAGTTTTATAAAATAAAACACCAAAGCATTCCCATTCTGTTTCAAATTTAAATCAAGCTTTCATTACTAAGTTTCCTATTGTAAGCCTCTACCAGGGTTGAAATCCAGTAGATTCTGACAGGTTCTGGAGAATCGGTAGCAGAAATTTTGAGTTGTTCAAAGAACCTTTAGCGAAAAGTTTGAGTAGTTTGGAGAACCGGCAAATGCCACCTCAGGCTGGCCTCAGAGTGGGGTGGGAATGGAGATTTTGCAGTATCCTTTCCCTGCCACACTAAGCCACGCCCACCAAGCCACACTACACCCACCAAGCCACGCCCAGACAACTGGTGATTAAAAAAAATGAATTTCACCACTGCCCTGTGCTTTGCAATGGAAACCTGAATATAGTTACAGTTGTTTCAGGGTAAACTCATGGTTTTCCATTAATTATAGGTAGCAAATTAAATCAAAACATTTTATAAAAACATGTAGAAGTAAAGGACAAAATTCTCTGTAGAAAACATATAGATATTTAAAAATATAAAAATTAGAGATTATAGTCAACTAATTCCTAAATCTTTAGCTGATTTGAACACAACTGAAATTTAATACAAAAGTAACTTTTATCCACTTAGTACAAATACTATTCCTCAGACATTGTTATAATATTTTTATTTTAAAATTTTAAAACTTCAAAATCTAGATTTCAATCTTCAAGTTTAGGAAGGATTTGACTTTTCAGATGGAATCTTTCAATGTGAAAATTAAGAACTAAGTTTCATTTATAAAAAAGTAAATTTTGAAACATCTATTTTATATTGTATCCCTTTACACCCACATTGCAGGATTTTTGTTAATATGGAACATATATTTAATCACCCATATATAATTTGTTCTTTGGTACTGAAATATTTGGTACTTGAAGGCATATAAGTGATCAATTTAAAACCAATTAATAGCATTATAATGTATTCCATGTAGTTTACAAAGTTTAGGAAAAATCTCCCCAATAAAAATATGTAAATTTAAATGAAACATTCTATTTCTTTAAGGTATCTTTCAGGTATCACAGAAATCACACATGTTATCATGTTGTATCAGTTTAAATTCTTGAAGTCCTTTTATTATATATGGAAATAAATTTGAAGAAATTTTCATTACATCAAAGATATTGCTTCATATTCCTTTTGAAAGCTATTCTTGTTTCTATTCCACATTTGTACATTCATTTCAGCTCTAATAAAACTTTTTTATTTTCCATGATTAAGTTGTTAATATTTATCAACATTCTCCTTAAAGTAAACAAGTTCTTGTTAGCTTCCTTTGTAAATAATTATCTTTAGCCAAGTGGAATTTAAAATTAAATGTTTCTGTTATTTTCATTGACAGTCATCCATGATCAGAAAGCAACAAAACGTCTCATAATTTTCTCAAGCATTTATATCAGTGTTTTTCATGCTGGCTGGGGAATTCTGGGATTTGAAGTCCACACAAAGTGGACTTGAAAAACATTGGTTGGTGTCATTGAAAAAACAACTTCTCATTGTTATTGCCTTATAGGAAATATAAATATTATGGAAAACACAAAAACCATTTTCTTTGCTCTCTTTCTCCTTGTTTCCACCAGGTTTATTCCAGAAGGTCTATGAATCTGCCAGATTAAACTTGGGATATATCAGAGGGAAACACAGTTAAGAAAAATGTGCGTCTTGATTGTGATAATGTGTACAACCTGATTAGGTGTTTTATTTTCTACATATATCTCACAATATCATTTGACTGCATGCAACTGGTAACAGCATCACACAGAAGCTTTAGTGCTCTTAACTCTTTCCAAGATCAGTAAAAAGATTGATAAATGGACGAACAGACAGATAACAAATTGAGCAACAATCTTGCTTTTCATAATGAATAAAGTATCTTTTCAAATCTTTGTCAAAGTTGAAATGACTGGAAAGGGTTTTTAAAAATAATATTGTGTTATAGTATTACAACTTGAAAGTTCAAAGCTGATAGCACTATAGCTTTAGAAATAATGTAATAAATACTTTAAAACCCTATATTGAGTCACAAAATACTGCATACATAAAATGATAAATTTCAAATGAAGCCATATGAATGACATATTCATAAAAGCACAGAAAATGAATTGCAATCTGACATATGGTTTACTATGGGTGAACAAAGTGTTGTTTAGCATGAGATTGGATCTTTTCCTAACTTTGAAAGATCAGTGNTATATATAACAAATATCACACCTGATATATGCAGAATAAGAGAATTGGAAGGGACCTTGGAGGTCTTCTAGTCCACCCCCCTGCTCAAGCAGGAAAGCCTATACCATTTCAGTCAAATGGTTGTCCAATGCTAATATACTCTGTATAAAGTTAAATTTGCTTCTTTGAATGAATTGCCATTGATCACCATGTAGGATGTTTTAGCCAGAAATCACACTAAAGGATTCAACATTTCAAATGTTACATTTATTATTATCATGAAGTTTTGGGCAGCTTTGGCTATTCTTGTCATGGCACCACACCGCACCACTCGGATACCATATTCCTATACATCATCTTTCTATGATCCTGTACACTCTTTGCATACAAATAGATAATTTTTGAAAAATGCAGCAGAAAAAAACAAAAACAAATTGATGGCTCTGAATTGTCATTCAGGCTACCTCTTCAAATGCCCCTATTACAAAACTTTCAAATAAGAGTTTTTAGTTTAACAATCAGGAATACTTGTTGATAGACTAAAATGTTTCGCAGACTGTTTTCATGTTGACAGTGTTATGTTCCAACGTGATGGGATCAAGGTCACCATCTGAGTTGTTCTTACAATGGATACTTCCTCTTTTTGTAGGAAATTCAGACTCCTACCAAGAGCCAATAGCTTATTCTGTCCGTAATTTCTGCAAACCAAATATTTATGAGAACCATATCAGTATACTTTCTTCAAATTTTATTTACTATTAATTCACAAAAACGTTGAAAGCTAACATTAAAAATGTGGCTTCCTAAAATGACCTCTGTTACTTGGAGAAAATCCCTACTTTTCTATATTAAATTAAGATTGCTATTGTGTAACCAGCCAGCAGTTTCTTTTAACATACATTAGTTTGTTTACATAGCATATGTTTAAATGCTGAAGACCTTCCGAACAGTATAGTAAAATACTGAATTATCTATTTATATTTCCATGAAAGGTGATTGGTGTACAAGCTATTGAATCATTTTGTTATATGAATTATAAAATTAACTAATTAATTATTTTAAAAAGGTTTTTTAATTTTATCTGTTGTCTCCTAATTATCAGTGATTATTTTATTTTATTTTTATTTCTTCAATAAGCTAGATGTAAAGCCATGTTTTGAAAATACGTCCATTACAAACGGATATCAATTTTGCCACATATATGCATTTTGTATTCTATAGGATTACCATGCATAAAAGTACAATCCAGGAAAGTAGAATGAATTGGAAAAAAGAGTCACACAACCTAGATACTTTTTTTTGATTAAATTTAATTTGTTTACAGCCATACAATATCAAGAAACAATTCCTTACTTTAAATTCGATTGCATCACTCTTCATATTACTTTTAGTAAGGCTGTTACCATAACTAGCTGGTTTTGAAATAATTGGTTAAAGAAAAAAAAGAGGTGTTTCCCTGATTCTTACATGTACATTTTCTGATTTTAAGTTTTGGGATTTTCCAAAAGATCCTTAGGGATTTTCCCTTGACTGAAGTACCAATCTCTCTTTGATTTCAGTTGCAACCAGTCTGACTATTCTGTACACAGTCAACAATGAATTACTTCTGGACCAAAGAAATTACTTGTAAACTGTAGCTTCTCTAATCCCAGAAACACGAAGGGGAACTCTGGCATGATACAAAGTCCTCCGTTACAACAATACAGTTGGTCCGATGCCTTCAATAGCCAGACAGAGAAAATTAATCAACCCTGAGACAGAAAAGAAATTATCTCCCCATAAACACGACCAGCAAATAAAATGCTATTTTATGTTAAACACCTCTGCCCTTCCATCTTTTTTTTGTATTTTTTAAATTATTTTTTAAAATATTGCATTATGAAGTGACAAAAATTGGCAAAAAAACACATTTGAAGTTTAACCTGCAGAGTTTCTCCCATCACGTAGGCAATGCTAAATCGTTCCGAGAAGACCAAAATTTGTATGTTCCAGACAGTACATGTGCATGATTTAGTAGTGGTCATGGGGAGTTTTGGGGGGGGGAGTTAAAAGAGGCTTGTCTAAACTCTTTGCCTTCAGTGGCATCACTGTGGAATACAGAGATTATAACTTTCAACATAAGCAGCAACGTAGGAAAAACATGTAGCTACCATTGTAATTCATAGCTATTTTTATGAATTGCCCAGCCCCCAAAAAACCAGAAACAGTATCCCTCCTTATGTCTATGATGTCCTATGGAGCATTTTTAAATTCATAGCATTGTCCGTATTAAACTCTAAACCTAATAGCACTTTATAAAATAAGCTTATGTAACTGTTTTTCAATTCATCTTGTAAACTGGTATAAACCCCCTCCTTTTTTTGGTGGATTGAATCTTTCTCTCTACACATATACTCTATTCTGTTCTTTAGCTCTATTAAAGTTAAAGAGGTTCTTTATTCAATCCCCTAAATTCTAATTTTCAGGTTTCTGCTAATTTGTCTTTGGGAACCCCACCTATAAAATTCACAATCCTGTTAGAGCTGCTCTTTCTCCTTCTTTCTTTCTTTCTTTCTTTCTTTCTTTCTTTCTTTCTTTCTTTCTTTCTTTCTTTCTTATTTTCTTTCTTTTCCTACCTTCTTTCTTTCATTCATTCTTTCTTTCTCCCCCCCCTTCTCTTGAATACAGTAAAATAAGCTGAGCTATCACTGTCATGCAGTTACCAGGGACAAGATTAGCTTTCGTCATATTAAAAATAGCTACCAAGTCCTCTTTTACAGGAACACTAATTGTTTCT